CCCCCCCCGGCGCGTCGCAGCTGCCGCTGAAAACAGCGGCGTCAGCCATAACTTTTTAAGGAGCCCCGAAGGAGAGCTGGGGGAGCCAAAATGACATCACACGCGAGAGGTGGAATTTGCCCCTACGAGTCCAAGGCCACCACCCTGGGGCTCTGGGAGGCAAGGGAACGTTTAGCCCCCCCCCCATGCGTGGGCGTTGCCGCTGCTGCCGAGAACAGTGGTAGAGGTGGAATTTGCCCCTACGAGTCCAAGGCCACCACCCTGGGGCTCTGGGAGGCAAGGGAACGTTTAGCCCCCCCCATGCGTGGGCGTTGCCGCTGCTGCCGAGAACAGTGGCGGCGGCCATAAGTTTTTTAAGAGCCCAGAAGGAGAGCTGGGGGAGCCAGAATGACCTCTCGCGTGTGATGTCCGAGCGGCAACGTTTTAATCAGATGCAAGAGGTGGAATTTGCCCCTACGAGTCCAAGGCCACCACCCCGGGGCTCAGGGAGGCAAGGGAACGTTTCGCCCCGCCCCCCCTCCCGCGGGCGTCGCCACTGCCGCTGAGAACAGTGGCGGCAGCCATAAGTTTTTTTAAGAGCCCCGAAGGAGAGCTGGGGGAGCCAGAATGACCTCTCATGTGTGATTAGGCTTGCCAAGTCCCCCCGGGGGGCGGGGAAAACCCTGCCCCAGAGGCTTGTTCCCTGCCGTCGGTGGATCTGGGCAATCTGGGCAAGGGGGCGCAAATAGATGTTAAATAGCATTGAGGAGAGCACTGCCCCTTGGGGCACACCACAGACTAGTGGGTGCCTTCGGGACATCTCCTCCCCATGTGCCACCCTTTGTCCCCGACCTTGGAGACCTTGGAGATGGGAAACAGTTGCTTTCCTGCACCTCACCTCACTGCCTTGCAGGGTCAGCAAGGCTACTGGCAAGTTTCCTAGGGTTGCCAACTCAGGGTGGGAAATTTTTGGAGATTTTGCAGGTGGGGCCTGAGGAGATAACTCTGCGGGGTATAATGCTGCCATGGAGCCCATCCTGAAAAGCAGCCATTCCGGCAGACTTGCAGGCTTCACCTGGAGGATGGCAACTCTACGGTCCTGTGGTGCAGGGGAGGGCGAACGGCGGGGCAGGTGGCTTCCTCACGTCTCTGGGGATGGCATTCCATAATTTA